TACAATAGTAGAAAAGTATAATCTGAGATATTATGATTGTGGTGGGTATAACACTGTAATAAAGTTATCTATTTTCCCCGACTTCATAAGAAATTGTAATTAAAGTAGCACCAAAAAGATTCATGGATGAGTCAATACTTACTGTATAATAATAGCAAAATTACCAGTGCTGTGACTTGTCACATCCCCCTGTGGGCTGGGGCCTGATAAAACTGTAAGTGAAATAGTTGTTGTTCAAAGGGATTAGATTGTCTGGTGCCTCTACTTTGAGGGTAAGAAAAGGGATTGGCTTTCCCAAGTCTCAGCACCTAGAAGTGACCTCAGGTGCTAGACCTCAGGGCCTAGAAGTGACACAGATTCTGTGATAGACAAGCAGATAGGGAAAGAAGCCATGGCTGGGTGATAAAGATGGTGAACTTTTAAGATGACTGACTTCCTCACTCTCCTGACCTGAGACAAAAACCTGGCAGTTGAAAACATAGGCCTTTCAGACATTTTCCCCAGCTAGTCCAGCTCCACTGAGGACGGGCTCACCAAGTTCAAAGCCAACAACAATCAGCCATCCTGTCTGTTTTCAAACTGACTACCTATAAATTAGGGGAGGAAGACCCTACAAAGACTTAAAAATCCTCCAGGTTTTAAGCACAGGGCAGGCTTCAGCTTCCCGAGTTCTGCGCTGTGAAGGATCTTTCTCTATGAACCTGTTGTGTGTGTTTCCTCGTCCTAAATCAAAGTCTTCCTTTGCCAGCTGGTTCTGTCTGTTGTGTCTGAGATTTTCCCTGTCACACTGGAGATTTGTTTCTTCTGCCTTTTAGTTCTTTAATTGGCAGAGTAAAAGCCTGGCTAAGACCCCCTAGACAGTGACAATCACAGTAATAGAAGCTTCCAGCAGATGGTCCATCAAGCTCTGCTTACAGCATTCTTGCCCTACTCTAGTTCACGGTCCTCCAAAATGGTTTCCTAACCACAGTGACCAACCCTTGGTACCAATTCTCGGTACTAGTTACTTTCCTCATTACTGTGACCAAATACCTGATCAGATGGAATTTCCTTTGAAGCAAGGGATACTGTTCATGATGGCAGGTGGTTCAACTGCAGTGTAACAGGAAATAAAGAGATGAATCAGAATTGAGAATGAAGTAAAACCTTCAATGTCTGCTCCTCAGTGCATTCAGTTAACTTCCTTCAGTTAGCCCCCTCCCCTCAAAAGAGTCCACAACTTCTCAAAACAGTGCCACCAGCTAGAGACCAAATGTTCAAATGCAAGAGCACATGAAGACACTTGTAACTCTAGACATTACAAAAACTTGAGAGTGTACTGAGTAAGTAAGTTGCAGAAATAAAGTAAATATACAAGGCTAGTAATGTTTCTATATATTGTCAATGATCTAGACGAGAAAAAAGTCAGGAGATGTTTCTATTTATAGTAGCTTCTAAAAAAAACAAGCTTAAATACATTTAACAAAGAAGTTGAGTAATCTACACACAGAGGCTTAGATGACAGACACCGCAAGAGCGCACACAAACAGAAAGATATGCAAGTGTGTTCTCACGTGCCTGTGAAGTGTTTTCAACTTTTCTGAAGATTTTCTTAATTGTGTGTATGTGTGAGGCTGTGTGATCATATGTGCACCATATAATCAGAGCAGGAGCCTGCAGAGGCCAGAAAAAGATGGCAGACACCCTGACACTGGTGTTACAGGTTGTTACAAGTTGCCATGTAGGCCTGGGTCCTCTGCTAAAACTGTAACTGCACTTACCCAGTGAGTACTCTCTTAGCCCCAGGGAAAACTTTCTAAGTAGGACACTGGTCACTCAGGAAATAAACCAACGTTTGACAAACGAGACTTAGATATCAACTGAGGTGCCACTGCTGCCAGTCTCTCAGCATTGCCCTACCCCACCCGACCTCAAGTCTCCAGACCACAGACCGGGCTGGCCTCCCATCCCACAGCCTTGAACACAAGCTCTCATAGTGCTCTTGGTGGCTGCCCTCAGCTTCTGGCTCTTCTCCCTCTCTTATTCCCTCCCCTGCTCATGGCCCAGTTCAGTCTGGACCCTTCTAGATGCCTCTGGCTGTTTCCTCCCTTAACTGTGAAAGCCTCCTCAAGAGGAATGGGGCCTCATGAGTCCCTCCCTATCCATGGTGAAATGCTGAAGGGCCCAATCTAATACAAGTCTTATGCAGGGAGCCATGGTAGCTGCATGTTCATGAATGCAATAGCTACTGCTTCAAATGCCATACTTGCCTGTCTGCTGCCACGCTCCCAACGATGATGGTCATGGACTAATCCTCTGAAACTGTAAGACCCACCAAATTCTTTCTTCTATGAATTGCCTTGGTCATGGTATCTCTTTATAGCAATAGGAAGCTAACTAAGATGAAGGGAGATAAAAAGGAGCTATGGGGGTAAATATGATCCAAATACAATGTATGCATATAAAAAAGTTGTCAAAATAAAAACTAGTGAAATTCAACATTTGGAGAGGTATTACTAATGGAAGTCAGGGCATGATGCTTATGAAAGCTTACTCAGTAAAACTGAAAATGTAAGCTGGGTGGTGGCTCAAGCCTATAATCCCAGCACTTGGGAGGCAGAGCCAGGAGGATCTCTGTGAGATCGAGGCCAGCCTGATCAAGAGTGAGTTTCAGGACAGAGAATCAACTCCAGAAAATTTTCTTTTGACCTCCACATGTATGTTCCATTTGTACACACACACACACACACACACACACACACACACACACACACAAAATGCACTCTTCAAAATGAAAAAAAAGAGGTTTAAAAAAATGTAACAATTTGTAAGAGCCAGAAACATGTTTTCCCAATTCTGAGAGTTGGGAAGTCTCATGTGTAATCTCCAGCATGTACAGAGGGCTTTATCTTCAAAGGGTAGGGAGCATGAGAAGAAGCTAGCTGAACCCTACATGAAATTTCTGTTATAGTAGTCCTAATTCCATCCATGAGAAATGATTCTTCATTGTATAATAACTTTTTCAAGCCCCAACCTTCTAACATTATTATCACATTGGCAACAACTGTGGGACATGTTTGAAACACAGCAGGCTTTTATAGGGCACCCAGGAGGAAGAGGCCAGTTTCTGAATTTCTTATTCATATAAGATAAGAAGGAAAATAACCATGTTTGTATGTCTCTTTTCATTTTTGAGGCAAGTCTCTCTATAGTCTTGGCTGTCCCACTCTCTATGTAGATCAGACTAACCTCTAACTCACTGAGATCTTCCTGCCTTTGCCTCCTGAGTGCTGAGGTTAAAGGCATGTGCCATCATGCCTGCCCAATGATTATATTTTTAGAAGGTATTTGGATAAGATTGGCAACTCTGGAGTGAACGCTACATGACTCTTTTTATGTCTTAGTTGTGCTATACTATACTCCTATAAATATGTTTGTGTGTACATTGTAAAATTCAAAGATCAGGATATGATCATGGCCCAGATGAGGTGATTCATAGCATATACCAGGCTAGCCATGTGTAGAATTTCTGCAGCTCACTGTCGGGGCAGTGTTGTAGTGTAGAGGTGTCCTGGAGGTACAAAAGAACTCATCAGGACTCTTACTCATTCAACTTCGTAATCAAGGTCCTTCCATTTAAGGCTTTCAGAATCATGGTTTCCTCATGCCCTGCCCCCTTCGGATAAAAAATGACTTGCAGGTGCAGGCCTTAATTTATATCAACCGTGGGTAGATTAGAAACTCAAATTTGACTCTGAAAATAGTGGTAAGGAGTTAAGGACAGAGCCTAGGGGAAAAGAGGTCTAGGACCCCCAGATTGCCTCCCATTACTATTCTAATAGAATTTGAAAGACATAAAAAGTTTGAAAAGAAAAAAAATGAGAAAATCATTGCTTAATATGAATAGATGTTTCCTTTGTCACATGTCTCCAGCCTTTTCCCGAGGTGGGGTATACTCAGATGGAGCCACATTTCCTGGAAAAGTAAGGAAAGAACTGTAGGGAGTTGTGACTATCCCACAGTCTAAGGAATTGTGCCTAGTTTCCAAAGACTGATGTCTGAGCCCCCACAAGGTGTGGGGTTTCTCACACAGACACTGACAACTGGGAAGTGAGCCGGGGAGTTGGCTTTCCTAGTACTTAAAGGCTTTTATCTTGAGATACTCCTGGCCGGGTTTTCCTCTTTCAAGGTACCATTATTGTTATTGTGTTGAATATAAAGAACATGAAAAGTGAAATATATATAAACATAACATTGGAAAAACATATTGCATAAAAGGCCAAAAAGAGTGTAAGTTGCTTATGTAAAATCACCACAGGCACCTCACAGCCAATTACTAGATTGAAATACTTTATTTTTGTTGCTGAACCAGAAAATCACATAAAAATTATGATGATCTTTCAGGCAGTTATTCCAAACTATGTCTTTGTTTGTTTATGTCAGGATCTTGCCTGGTAACACAGACTGGTCTTGAACTTATGAACTTCTGCCTTAGGCTCCAAAGTACTGAAGGTACTGAGCTCCTCTGCTTCTTTCTCTTCATGCTGACCATGTGTTTGCTACAGACATTTATTGTCATGAACATTCTGTGACCTTCAGAAAAACACCTGTGTGATGAGGATTGTCATTCTGTATATATGTTTCTCTTGTTGGTTGATGAGTAAAACACTGTGGCCAATAGAGGCAGGGAGATAGGCAAGATTGGCAGAGGAGAATTGTGGGAAACACAGGTGAATAGAGTTGTCATGTGAGCCCGGGAAGAGAGGATGTGCAAGGTGTTCTGGTAAGTCAAGACCACGTGGAAATACATAGATTACTAAAAATGAGTTAATAATTAAGACAGAGCTAGCCAATAAGGAGCCCAAGCCACCAGACAACAGTTTTATAATTAATTTAGCATCTGTGTGCTTCTTTGGGGCTCAAGGGCTGTGGGACCAGCTGGGCTGTAAAATCTTCATCAACACCTGTTGGAGTCTTGTGAGCATAGCTCATGCTGCCATTCAATGCTTTGGGGACAGGAAAGAAGGGAGGTGTATGATTAGAGTGAATGGGCTGAAAGTGCCATTCTCACTTTTGATTAACAGCATTAGTATCTAAAGGGTGAGCTACTCCCAAATGTAACTGCTTAGAGAAACCTAGAATGTCAGGGGGGAGACATAGTTCTGGTGTATGATGCTTTTCTGCTACTTGGGTACCAATATCTCAAGTATGTTGTTAGGAATAAAGTCTTTGGAGTCATCATCCCATTGACAAGTGACAACCGCATAGCCTGTCATGAAGATGCTTCTGTATGAGCAGTGTGGCATCCTCTTGCCACTTACTAAAGTACACTGCACTCCATTCATTAAGTTCATGCTTCTTCTGCAAAATCCAGTCCCGTTCATACATTTCACTTGCCTGCTGTGGCAGGCATTTTTTAGAACTTCATAGGGCACCGATACAAAGTAATGCTCTGGGTAACAGAGAAGCTTATTGTGAATATTTTTAAGCTTGAGTTCATTATCACAGTAATCGTCACCATTGAAAGGTCGCTCAGGCTCGGCAATGATCTTTTCTCTGATTCTTTCTTTGGTGGGTGGTTTGGTGGGCCCTGTACTATAAAGTTCCCTTAAGTAGTCACGTAATTCTGGGTTTAGTTCATATTCAGAGTAATCCCAATAGTCCCCTTGAAGCTTCAGTGGCAGCAGCAGCAGCAGCAACAGTGGCAAAGGCCATGGGTACTTGGTGACCAGAGATGTCATTCTTTCCCTGTAGAGTCAAAGCGGTGGAAGAGAGACATTCTGTTATGATGAAATGTTGTATTTACACACGGGAGGGGGGCACTTACACCAACTATCACTGCTGCCTGCCCATTGGGAAATTGTTAGACTTGAGATTTCAGAATTTAGTTGAAGGTCCCTCTAATATTTACTCTAAAATAACTATGTTAGTATTGAGGATAGTAGATAAAGGAGTGTGTGTGTGTGTGTGTGTGTGTGTGTGTGTGTGTGTGAGAGAGAGAGAGAGAGAGAGAGAGAGAGAGGAAGGGAGGGAGGGAGGGAGGGAGGGAGAGGGCACTAGAGAAGGAGAGAGGGGAGAAATAAAGGGAGGTGGCAGGAAGTGGAGGCAGGGTAAAGGAAAACAATAAAAGGATAGGAGAAGGGCTAAAGAGAAGGAGAGCACACCCACAAGGAGAGAAGAAATGGGTCCCAGGCAGTACTTTTGTCTAGAGCGAACACATTTTACTCATTCCAGAAACCAGTGATGTGCACAGAAATGAGCCCTCCTCCCCTCGTTGGTCTTGCTCCGATAAGGAACACTCTCCATCTTAGGGCTTTCATTCTCATCTTGCTCACATCTGACCACAGATGTCCTTGCGGAAGAGGCCACAAAAAGTCCACAGAGGTGTGGCAAACATGCCTTAAGCTGACTCCTCTGCTGACTTTGCCTCCACATAGGTGTCTCTAACTGCTGTGCCTCTTAAGCCTCTTGCCATGCCGTTCCACTCTCCCATCAAAGTGCACCATTTACCTTCTGACATTTTCATTGACGCTTCTTCCCACCCCTAAGGTAAACTTGATGGTTCCTGTTTTGATTGGGTTTTCACCTCCCTAAACTCGCTCCAATTCACAGCACAGTCTATAATTGCTCTGATCCCATCAGTAGAGATTTCACAGCTATCAAACTACTTGCCTTTCTCTCTGTCTCTATGTCACCCTCCCACCCCAATCTGCTGCCTAGTGTTTGCATGTGAGGTCTTTACAAGGCTATGAGCAAGTGTCTTTGCTTATCAATTCAATGCTAAGCCAATGACACGTATTTAAAAGAAAATATTGCATCCATATTAGTGATCTGTATCATAAAACAGTCTGGCTAATTATGTTGATTTGTGAAGGCCTTTCTATAAGAAAATGAGGACCCATAGCATCTACCCAAAGACTCTTCCCACTTGCTAAAGTAAGCAATGAGGCATAGTCTATGCTTTAGTGCAAAGAATCAGCTTTTGTAGAGAACATCTGGGCCCACTTGACTTGTATATCCCTATCCCAGATCTGACTGTTTTTCATGAATTCTCCAAGGTCTTTGTCTCGGGAGAAAGCAATGTCCTTCACTGTCCTCAAAGCAGGCTTCAGAGCCCGGCTTTACCTGTGCCATCCTTTCCTCATTATACCCTGTGGTATCCATTCTTCAGAGAATGGATGTTTGGCTTACTGGACTTAGAACTTGATGCCAGAGATAACTGATCTTCAGTGAAAGAAATCATTCTGAGTTAGGAAGAGAGAGCAAACCTGAGCAGCTCAGAAGCACATTGTTGACGCTACTTTAAACCTTAAAAAGCTAACACAGATAGAAGTGTAAGAAGCTCTATGCCATAAGCCACACCAAAGACTTCCTCTATATTAATAACACTGAGGCAACCAAAGGTTAGAGACATTGTTTACTTTGTGCGTTGTTAGCATCTTCTCACTCCCAAATGACAACTGTCATAACCCAGAAATTCTGGCCCATCTATAAGGGAGATGGGAAGATGGCTGTGGATAACTGCAGGTTTGGATTCTGGTCTTATGAACTGGGAAAGGCCAGAGAGAGGCAAGGGTTGGATGAAGTTGGGAGCACACAGTGGGAAATGGAGAGGACAGAAGCTGAGCACAGAAACGCAGAGGGAAGAAGAAAAGACATATTCCAAACTGGTGACACTGAATGGTCACTTGTTCCATGTAAACATATTCAGAACCCATCCCTCCATAATTTTTCATCAGTATCACATTGTGACAGTCAGAAAGCTCAACTCACAACTCTGCAGTGAGAACACAGAAACTCCGCAGTATCATGAACTAAAGCAAAGTCAACACATGCCTGGCCAATGGCATCTGGAGCTCTAGAGCCCACCTTTTTACTCACTGAGAAAATGGTTTACAACATACAAATACATATTTATATGTATTATAATATGATATATGTTATATGACGAGAATATGATATATTAAGCAATCATAAGTTTAAGATCAGGAAGAAATCACTATAATACTTTTGAGAAAAAACAAAAGGTGGCAGACAAAAGGCTTAAAGGTCATAAGCTTTTGTAGAAGTCTTTTAATGCCTAAATGGATGATTTAACAAAGAGGATTACAGTAACATGTATGGGAAACAGCATCTACATAAGCAGAAAACTTGAAATTTGAAAGTCTACTAGTGTGGGAAAGAGTAAACTAAGCCTAATACATTCAAAATGGTAACAATTATCCATGGCAGTAATAATAATTATAAATGAGTAGCTATTATTGAGACAGTATTTTATATTCATAGAGCTATGTTTTCTTTGGATAGACTGTTTTCCGTCTTCATAAATACACTAAGTTTTGGCATTTTAGAGACATATAGTAAAGAATTTTTTACTTATGCAGCGTGGTGCTGGAGGGGCCTAGGCAATAGGGAGAGAAATCCTGTGCACATCTTTAAACACTAGAGGGGCTGTATTGACTCACAGAAGAGAGATGTCCGACGGGTGCAGCAGGAGCAAGTTCAAACTCTTCCCCACACTCTTTAACCACCTCCACTCCACTTCTTTGTAGACCAGATTTGCTCCTGTGTAGGTGCTCTGTGGAATGGCAGGGCCAGACAATGTCACTTTTGTACCCTATTATAGAGCCATCGTGTTCCCAGTGAGTGGCCTTCACCCACCTTCTTCCATCAAGGAAAATGACTCTTCTGGTTGGCCTTGCGCCTGTCACTTGAGGAAATCAGAGATGTGGTGACTTCTGACTGGTCAGCCAGATGCACATGATTTCCTTGAAGAAACAAACAAACAAACCAAAAAAAAAAAAAAAAAAAAAAAAAAAAAAACCATGTGACTCAAACCCCAGCAGTACTTCAACTGTTAACAAAAGAGCTGTTTCTACTGAACAGCAAAGCAATGAGAACCACTACAAAAGAAGCGCATTTGTGTGAGTGGAAAAAAACAAATCCGATATATACCTAAGAAAAAAGTCAGGTCGGGTCTCTCCCAAGTGTTAGTACACAAACCACCTGCAGACGCCAATGTACATGACCTGTAGCTCCAAAGTAAAGTTGGAAATAGAAAGCTGTCTTATCCAGGTGAGGTTAACTGACCCTAAATGTGGGCAGTGCCATTTCATGGGCTGCGGGCCAGGTCTGAATGAAAACTGAATGAAAAAAGAGAAAAGGAGTTGGGTGTCAGTATTCATCGCCCTCTTACCTCTGTGTTCTTTCTTAAATGACATACTATACCCTAAAACTTCTGAGACAGACAGACAGACTTGCACACACATGAAAGAGAGAGAGAGAGAGAGAGAGAGAGAGAGAGAGAGAGAGATCTAGCACTACAACCTTCTCATGGGGTTGCCTAATTATGTTTTCCTGGAAGGGAGGAAAGAGGTTTCCCTAGGTCCTAGCCCTTCAATCAACATTACTTGTTGACCCTAGAAACAAACCAAGAAAAAAGCTGATGAAAGTGGAGTGTGTTCAGGGTATGATAATGTTCTAGCCTCTCACAGCATTTGGACAAAGGAAAAGCAGTGTCTAACACCAGGGGATGGAGGCCGAAGAGACTGACCAAAGGCCAAGAGTGCTTAGTGCTTCGGCATATGCACTTTTTTGATTAAAAATGACAAGTTATCAGTCAATGAATGACTATTAAGTGCAGTAAGTAGCTAAATGAAAGAAGCCAGTCTAAGAAGAGTAGTGGATAAGTCAAAGACACATCGACAGAAGAGAGGCTGGCCATCGACAGGACCTGGACAGCGCCACCTGGGGTGACTAGATGAAATGCAATCTCTCAGAATGTGGTGCTGCTGCGTGGACACGTGACATCCGTGTTTCAGAACTTAGCAGAATGAACCTGAGCATCTACAGAGTTTACAAATTAGCCCTTACTTTATAGATGTCTGAGTAAGCTCATGGAAAAGAGGGTAGAGAAAGTCATAATAAGAAGTAACTGGGTTTTAGTGAAAGCATTCCTAAAAGCCAAAGATGAAACCATGAAATGTTACATGAACACTGGATTATAACTCAAATCAGATTATAAATATCCACGAGTCCACTGGTACAAACAAATGCTTAAATAAATATAGTCAATGATTATTCCTTCAAGTAGATCAGCATAACTATACTTAAGCTAGGGTGATTTCCTTCTAAGAAGTATATACTGGAAAAAAAAATTATAGAGGTTAAAAGCCAACTTTGTAGTGGAGGGAAAGGAAGCTACAAACAAGATGACCAATCAGAAAATTGCATATATGTTTCCTTTAAATGTTTTCATATGAATCCTGTCCAATTCTTCCCTACTGCTATTATTCTATCATCTATCTTCATTGTCTTGTCCAGATTATACATGCCCCTCTGACCTACAATCTATCTTTATCTGTTTCTTTGAACCCAATGTGTTTATACTATAAGATTAATGTTCAAACATCACTTATTTTCATATATTTACCCAAAAATCTTTAAATTCCTTCTTGTGATCCTTGTATTATTTTCTATAGTTTTTATTGTTGCTGTAATAGATTTTCACAGATGTGGTGTCTTAAAACAACACACATTGTTTTTCCAACAGTTCTGGAGGGAAGGAGTCTGAAATCAATTCCACCAGGGCCATGAGATGGCTCTGAGGGTAAAAGCGATTGCTGCACAAAACTGATACTCTGAATGCACGCTTGGTAGCAATACTGTTCTTGCAGAGGACCAGAGTTTGGTTCCCAGCATCCCTATCACAAGTCTCACAATCATCTGTAACTCCAGCCCAGAGTATCTAATGCTGCTATGGGGACCTGTACTCAAATAGACACACAGAAACACACACACACACACACACACACACACACATACACAGACATTTGATTAAATATTTTAAAAATGACAGCATATCATTTTTCCATTTAGTGAGAAAAATGTTTTCAAGTGCTTAATGTTTATTTCTTCCTTGGCTAATTTTCAGGTAATGCCTTTTGATTATTTTTCTGTAAGTATGTTTATCTTTCTCATGAAACTGACAGACTATGTTACAGGTTAAAGATATATGATAAACCCTTAACAATTATTTATGGAAATTTGTTTTCAATTGTTTACTTGGTATAGTGTAACAATCTAGTTGTATAAGAATAATAATGATGACAGATACCATTTCATCATCAAAACAAATGGTAAGGTATATTTTGTTCAGAAACCATCAGAATTATCTTTCCTTATAGTTATGGACAAGTGTGTTTTCCTTCTATCAAAAGCAGATGATAGGCTAGAAACGTGACATACAAAATCAAATTGTCCTTGTTTGTTTCTGCAGGGGACAGTTATACACAAGACTTTGAATACTGCCTGAGGTCTGTAAGTAATGGTATCTACCCCGTGGGGGTTGTTCTGAGAGTAAAAAGAAACTTTGTAGATCTTTCTGATGTTCCTAAAAGCTCTGTTTTGTTGTTACAATTGCTACTGCCATGAACATCCTTGTGACTGTCATTGTCGACTCTGGAAACCTTATCAGGCTTCACAAACATACAGGATGAAAGATATTCAAGTCATCTTATCCCAGCTCTGCCAGCTCTCTCCTCAGGGAGAAGTAAGGATGCATTTCAGATGTCAGTCTCTCTTTGAAATTCTCACTCACTTTTTTTAGAAATGAGTGGCTATTACAATGCCCTGAGTTCACCTTCAGATATGTTCCTTGTCAAGGGGCTTTGGAGATAAAAAGACTGGTGGGCTGCCCTGGGAGACTGGCGAGGAGGTAGGCATGATATGTGACACTAGATTATCTTACCTCAAAGGCACATAAGCAGCAATATTTCAGCTTACTGAAACTAGAATTAGGAAGAAATCATTTGCTCTGTCCACTTGAGTGGGAGCGAAACTTCGGGCACTTCAGCAAACCCAATGCCTTTGCAAAAGGAACAGGTGCTTGGTCCTGTCCTTTGCCTCTAGACCCCAGGGTTCTTCCTAGACCTGCTGCCCAAGGGCTTGCACTTATCAACAGTTCCTGTAAGTAGGAAGGTTACTATGTAAAGGCCAAACTCGTGGGACAAAAATCTCAGAGAATAGGGCTTTAAACCATACCTTTTCTCCTCTCGTATGACAACCTGTCAACAGCAGATTGGCAGAACAGCTGTATAGCACAGCTGGTAGGGGCACGGTTTCCTCTGAGTTCAGCTCACTCCTGGACCATCATTATTGTTATTATGTAAAATATTTAAGGAAAGACACAGTCCAGTTGCGGATGTAGTTACGGAGGATAAGTAGTGAGCAGGTGTCCCATACACTGTGATGAGACCTGGACTCGGGCCCAGCCCACATCACTTCTGCTCAGAGAGCCAGAGAGAGGAAGGAGGGTTGGCTTGGGTGACCTGAGACTCTCCCACAACCATCCGCACGAACGCTCATGGCCAGATCTCATCTGACATCCACACTGTACAGATAAGGATGTTGAACCCCTTCTCTATTGTCTGGGTACCTCTCTGGTTGCTTCGTATTCAGATCTGCCTCTCAATCTTCCTTTCAGTTATATATTTACTTTTCAGTTACTTCCCTAACAAGAACCAGAGACATTTGGACTGCCTCTTATCAGGTGTGGCTCATGTGCTTAAGGGTTAAGACAAGTAAGAAAAGGGAAAGGAAGGCCTGGGAGGCAAGTCCTCTTTCTGTAGGAGGGAGGCAACAGCTAATGATGACAGAGGCAGGCAGGCATGGAAGAAATACTGGGGAGGGTGAGGGGAACTCTGGGGCTCTGAAAGCCAGCCTGATCAACTTAGATACAAAGCCACAAAGCAAACCCAAGGGAGCCCTTGCGGGTTTGGTGAACAGAAATGGGATGTGATGAAAACCTAATATTTGAAAGCCTCAAATCCTCTGCTCGAGGCCAGGCAAGGATCTTGTGACACATATGCACTAAAGAGGGGATGGACGTTGCAGTAAAAGACACCATGATTGATCCTGAGTGAGCACAGTGACCGGCTAGAAGCCAGAGTTCCTGCTTACTTCAGAGATGTGGATGGTGTGTTCTCAGTTACACCTCTCTGGAAGATGGTCCCAGCCTAAAACAGAGCTGCTGTCTGGGGTCTTTGCTTTTCTTTCCTGTACTGAGAAGGGTTGGCTTCTTCTTGCACATCGTGAAACAAAATAATACAGAACAAAAACGAGTTATTCCCAGGGCTGACTGGCCCCCTCCACTATGAGTGGTGTGGAAAAGAGTTTACCAATATGAGCTGGACATGGACCAAGAAGAGGCAATTGGGGCTTTGTTCTGGTGGAGAACCCACTCTTCGTTTTAGTGAATGAGTGCAGTATCAGACCTATCACATGAGAGTGACCCTAGAATGGACTCACTGAGCACATCGTCCAACCTGTATCCTCAGTTATCATTCAGGACCCAGGCATTTCCCCTAAATCACCCATCTTGTACCGCTGAATACAAACTGAGCTCTGATTGTACATCCACTACCCACACTAACAGTGAATGCGAGCACGGTTTAAGCAGCCACCATGCTGACAATGAGAATCCAGCTAAAAAGCACCCAAATGTCAAATGCTCTGGTGATCTATGTTGGTAGACTGTCAGCATCTTGTCATTTCAATAGACTGAGAAATCTGTATCAATGTAAAAACACATTAGAAATATCAAGATATAATGGACCACATACTGCAAGAAAAACATAACAACATGGCATTCATTTGCCCTAGTTTAATTAAACATTAAAACAAAACAAAAAAGAGTGGGCTGAGGGTGAAGGAAAGATGGCAGACAGGAACGTACATTTGCACAATGAGCTATAATAGCTGTGTGCTCTGTGCCCTGTTAACTCTGAGGACTTACAATTGGTAGAGAACGCATCAAGATTGAAGACAACACTGCTTGAAACTTGGCATAAACGTTATATTCCCTTCGTCACCTTCCATATTTCCCATAGCTTGCCAGTCCGCAGGCACAGCTCCAGAGCAGCCAGGCTTTGCTGGGCTGTGAGCAAGCAGAGCTTTGACTTGTCTCTCTGAAGCAGCCCTGAGATAGGAGTTCCAGTGGAGGATTGTAGACTGTATAGTGCCGGGCTGTGACACTGTCTGGAGGACAGGCTGGCGGGAGGCAGCTGCGCTCAGGTGCACACGTGTGCTCACATGCCTTTGAAGAGCAGCACTGAGTACATGTCTCACTCTTATCACTATCTAGAGTGGAGTTGCTCTCCTTTCCTTTGTCCACTCGGGTAGACTCAGCTTTGAGGCAGCTTTATAGCTAAACTGGGAAGGAATTCAGTTTCTGGGAGGGAGAGTGAGAGCAAGAACATGAATCTGTATTCTAGGATCAGTTACAGTTTTTAATTGACTTATGCTGTGTCGGGCTATTTTTTTCCCAATTTATCCAGTTCAGAACCAACAGTGTTTACCATGTACTAGGGGATGGACATGTGTAGCACAAGGATAGAAGCAACAACGATCATGACCTTGTCCGTCTTTATCCTCAGTCCTGTTGTTTACAGTCTAGAGCCACTAACTAACCAGCTCATCAGAGAATGGCTTGTCAGCACTGTCAAGGCCCTCTTCAGCGAGGTGACACTGTGCTCCTGGCACCTGGGGCACTGCTGGCCTGCAGTGACCTTGCACATGGTATGCTCCAGTCCTAGTCTCTCACAGCAGCTTAGGCCAGGTGTCTGTCCGCATCCCCAGCCGGTGGCCTCGGGAACTCCATGGATCACGTTGGTGGACCCCTGTATAAAGTTATTGCCCAACTGGCATGACTCATTCATGCCTAAAACTTTTCTCCAGACTCCCGGGCCGTTTAGACAGTTTTGGTCATTACTCAAAGGGTTTCCCTTGGAGATGACAAAACATGACCTTCTGGATGTTGGGGGCGAGGCAGACACCACATTCTTGAATGCACTGAGGCTGATATTTTTATCTGACAGAACTGAGTTCATTGATTGCTCAACAATCTGTTTTGCAGCAGGCTGCATCTCTTCCTGTGAAAGTTTTTCTGTGATTCTCTTTGTAGTGCCTTCTGAAGGCACTACAAGAACAGACCCGAGGCCAAGCAACAACACAAAGACTGCCATCTCATGTACACTGTAATCTTGTCTGCAGAGAAGATAAAGAGAAGGAGAATAGAGAAATGGTTTCCTTCTCATTATGGCAGTATTCTCAGCAACAACCCCTTAGATAATGAAATATGATATAATAAAATGACAATCAGATGAGGAGCCTGAACACCCATGCTTACATCTCCAGTAACAACCAGTTCACTTAGCCTCATTTGACAAAGTTTACCCATCTGAAGAAAAACAAAACAAAACATGAGCTAACTCTGCAGTGCTGGAACCAAGCATTTTTCTTTTGTCTAATTTTAGGTCCTCCTAAATAATCTCGGAATAGGTCCAAGTCATCTCACCCAACACATTTCTCACTATTACTGTCTCTTACTGCCCACACAGGACCTGACACATGATAGCCTTGTAAACAAATGAGGCAGGCACAGACAGTAACCTTTCTCCATCTCCTGCCTCCCCCCCCCCCGCCACACACACACACACACACACACACACACACACACACACACACACACACGCACATTCCCAGTCATGAAAGCTGCCTTTACCAGTTCCTTTGGCAAGTTGATCTTGCAGAGAAAGATTCCAGCTTCTTGCCAGGCTGGAAGTAAAACTGTGTCTCACACTCAAGAGTTTCAGCTATTGGGTCTATCCGTGGGAAGGAGGGGCAAGAAAGGGTTAGAGAGATGTGTGTGGAGGAAGCAAGGAGCCAAGGACACTCAGGGGGAACCAGACAGAATGTGCACGAGGCAGTCAGAATCCGGGACCCAGAAGCACCCTGCCTCCCCTTCTGTGGACTCTTATTCACGGTTTCCTCAAAGCCAGAGTGTTTTATGGTTTTCTTTTCTGAAAGCCCACTGCTTTCAGACCTTTCCTTGTGTCTCATTGTATCTGACCTTCCACTCTCTAGTTAGGTGACATATGAGGCTAACAACTCCCTGATCCTAAAACATGCTTTCTGATCACTGCCAGAGGAGACAGCTTCCAGTCAAGCCTGCACAAACTCCACTGCAGCCAAAGACAGCATGGCTAGCCAGCGTGAAGACCCTGTAATAGCGTGAGTGATTCATATTTCATAGTCAGAGTCCCCAAAAGATGGTTATTTATCTTGATAACTCTTTCTCATGCTAGAATGGCTTTTTATTTCCTTCTTTCCCTTTTAAAAGTTTCTCTTACCCATTTTCTTCTGCATTGTTACCTTAGTTTCTTGGCAGTCACCATCCTGTGCCCCCCCCAATTCTGTAAAACACACTGTCTCAGGATTCTTGGCACCTGGACCAGGGGAAGCCTAACCACTGAAGCCCACAAACCAAGCCTCTGCTTGCTCTTACTCAGTCAAGGCTGCTATTTTGCCAAACAACCCTGCCCTAATCAATGGGGTGACCATCTCTTATCTAAATACACCGGAAGCCTCCACCTCACCCCCCCTTTTTTTTCTTTTCAGATTTTATTTTGCATGTGTATATGTCATGTGTGTGTGGGTACCCCAGAGGCCAGAAGAGGGTACCAGATTCTCTTGTGATGGAGTTACATTTGGTTATAAGCCATTTGATGTGAGTGCTAAGAACCCAATGCAGGTCCTCTGAAAAAGCAACAGTACCCTTTACCCATGAGCCATCTCTCCAGCCGCATCTCCCCTCTTCATTCCTTTCTTCCCTGCTTCTTGAAAACCAAACCCAGATTGCATCTTATCACTTAAGTCTACCAAATCTATGTTTTGTTTTGTTTTACTATGTGTGTTTGTTTTTAGTTTTTTGAGACAGGGTTTCACGGTAGCTTTGAAGCCTGTCCTGGAACTCACTCTATAGACCAGGCTGGCCTTGAACTCACAGAGATCCATCTGCCTCTGCCTCCAGAGTGCTGGGATGAAAGGAGTGTGCCTCCACCTCCCAGACCAAATCCATTTCTCATTTCTATGACTCTCTTATAACTCACTTTTAAAATATTTAACTTTACTACTTTTAAGTCTATGTGTGTGCGTCATTGTGTGTACGTGAGTGCAGGAGCTCCTGGAGGCCAGCAGAGAGCACTGGATTCCCTAGAGCAAGAGTCACAGGGGATTGCAAGCAGTCTGCTGTGGGTGTGGGGACTGAGTTCTGCTCCTCTGAAAGAGCAGTCAGTACATGCCCTTAACCCCAGGTTACATTCCAGCCCCTCACTATTTAAAACAGGATGGCCTGGAACTTGCTAAATAGCCCAAGCGGGTCTCAAATTCATAACTGATTCTCCTGCCTCAGCCTCCAGAAAGCTGAAATGATAGGCATGTACTGTAACACACGACCACTGACAGATTACTAAGAACTTAGTCTATATGTTCCTTGAGACTATGTTCTTCGGGCACACACTTGGGAGATTTTGGATGGAGGGGGAATTTGTAAATAACTTTTTTTCCCCTGGAACCTCTAAATCCTTTTCTATTGGCCCTTCTTAATAAGCTGATGTTAGGAAAATAGAAAGGTCATGAGAAAGAACAGTACAGCAATCCTGTACTTGTGAAACACGTTTTTCACATGAACAGAATTCATGACTACCTGTGCTTGAATTCAAATTGTTAGACATTCATTAAAAATGTGCACACACACACACACCACACCCCCCCACACACACACGGTAAAAATATCTAGTGTAGGGAATCATGGGGTTGGCCTGGCCTACCTGCCTTGAGAGGCATGTGTCACGGGATTTTCAGGTTGGAGTCCACAGCTCCTGGACACAATGTGCCTTCCAGTTCCTGAGAGACTGATGAAGCCCCAAGGCAGTAAAGTGTCCAGGCCACTTTGTGTTTCTCTGTATGTTCCCTTAGCAGTCAAGGAAGCATGGAAGCTTGACGCACAGTTGGTCTTGGACATTAATCTTGTGTACCCTGTGTGACTTGCAAACTTCAGTACAACAGTATTGATCTTGGACACTGCCATTATATTCTGTTTCTGATAAACGTATAAAATGTCTGATTGCTCTCAATAAAATTGCCACAGTTTGAGCTATGCTGTGACCCCTCCAATCTGGCCTGATTTCATTCCTTGCCACCATATCAGGTGACTTTGGCCCAGTAAGCAAGCACAGATGCTTACAATCTAGACTGTTATAATTCATTTGAACTCATTCATAATTCTATTGAACTAAGATATTATGAGGTGGATTCCTATAGATAGGTGCTGTCCCTTATATCTTAAAGGGAATTCATCTGTCCTCAAAAGTTGTTCCTAAGTAGGACAGAGAAACTAGAGGGGGGAGGGAGGGAAAAGTAATGAGAACAAAGGGAACGATACTAAAGCCTGGCTGGGATGGGGCAAGGAAACAGCAGCAAGGACCACTTGCTCTACATCAGTGATGCTACCCACGTGTAACTCACTTCTCACTGCACTACTGCCCACGCTCTGCTCAGCCTGAGCGCTCTGCTCAAAGACGATGGGATTCCAACAGAGAAATAGGAAATCGTGTTCATCTGGAAAAGGGCTGGAAGAAGCCGTGTGGAAGAAGCCACGAGACAGGCTCTGACTTCCAAGCTGTGGCATGTGCTTCACTTGCCATGGTCACCCAGCTCCCCATCAACCGACCTAGTCAGTTATAATTTAATGTCTTGAGAAGACAGTAACAGCAGCCCACAGCAACGCACCCCCTCTTCTGATATGACCTTGAGTTAAGTCCAAATGCTGCACCAATAGCTGAAGTCTCTCAGCTGAGAAGGCCAGCACAGAACAGACTCCCCAGAGCTTGGGAATCATTCCCTCCACTCTGGCCCACTCACTCGTCTGAGTCCTGCTTCTCATAGAACTGGAACTACATTGCTTGGAATTACTGGCCCCATAAATGGCCCCAATCCCAAGCTTTCCTTCAAGCAAAGCTGCTTCCTGCTGCACCTAAGAAATAGAATTGTAGACAATAGACTTGGAAACAACCTAGCTTTAAAAAACTAGCAAATAGAAATAGCAAATAGAAAACTAATGATAGAAAGCTAATGATGAAAATTTGATAAAACTTCCAGAATTGGGTGGCTCTATTTGTCTTCCTTTCTACTTGAACATGAGGTGTCCAAATATTGAATTTAACAGCAAGAACCAAAAGGGGAAGGAAGGAGTTGGCAGACAGGTCCAAAGCCTTCTCTGTGTCCTCTAGAATTTGGAAAAGAAAAACATTAGCTCATAGAGGCTCAGTCCTTCCTTGGGACATTGATATCTGCATCTCTCTGTGTGGAAAATGGTTTCTGACAGTCGGCTGCCTTTCATTCTCTCTCTCTCTCTCTCTCTCTCTCTCTCTCTCTCTCTCTCTCTCTCTCTCTCTCTCCACTCTCTCTTTCTCCAAGCTGGAGGACCTGATGAACAAGAACAGATGATATATAAATCGTATACTCTATCTTTAGAGAAGTCTTTAAGACTCCATAATCACCCCACATATACACATGTGGCTCCTGCCATTCATTTCTCTGGGTTACCCACCCTATCACTGCAGACAGCACATACTTGGGATGAAAGTTGTAGAGAAATAAGCTGGAACTGATTGGAAGATTCTTCCCTGCTGGCTGGCTCTCAGCATGACGGATAGTGCTGTGCAGAGTGCTGTGGGTTAACACAGATGTGAGCTCTAACACCAGCCTACCATGCACGATGTGCCTATTGGGACAATAGCGGTGTGACTGCTATGGGGGCACACACTGCTTCCTAAGTGGATTTTTGGCTTGCCCAATACTGTAAACCATAACTTAAAAGGTCTTAGATCCAGGAGGGGAACTGAGTCTGGCTGCTTAGCTGAACTGACATAGCATCAAACTACCCTCTAAGTACCTATGTTTGTACTGACAGACAAAGGCTACTGTATTTGTACCTACAGAAGCTACTCTCATCCTTAAACAAGGGCCTTGTTCACTCCTCAAAGTGAACAAAGGTAATTGCAAATACTCAAGGCTGAATGAGATGCTGGTAATGAAGAATACTCATCCCTAGGCGAGACATTTATGTCACCCCTTAGGATTCACACAATATTATGGAAAAGGGGGACAGAAAGAGTATAAGCACTGTAGGATAGGAAGAAGGGTTGCAAAATGCCATCCTCTATGCACAACTTGGCTATGGCTGTCATGGCCTCACAGTAGCATGGCATTCTGCTACCCGGTGCACCAAAGTCAGGCCCTCCACAGTCAGCTATGGAGGGTAAAGTCCTCATAGGTCACACCACACACTGCTGACCTTGGGAGCCCATAGTTTCATGCTGAGATTGTTATTCCAAACTCAGGGTGACACAGATGGCCCTGATTAAACTTTGTGGTACACAAGAAAGTAGGCTCTGGGTTGAAAAACAAAAGAATGCATGAAGTCATGGTGGAAATGTAGGGGTATGAGAGGAGTTGGAGGAGAGAGATTTGGGTGGATCTGATCAAAACACAATGTACATATGTATGAGATTCTCAAACAAGGAATTTTAAAAATATATAATAAAGGAGAAAGTCCCTAAGAGGTGACCCCAATTGCTTTTTAAACAAACAAAAAAAAAAAAAAAAAAAAAAAAGGTTGAGGGCTGGAGAGATGGCTCAGAGATTAATAGCATTTTTCTCCTCTTGGAGAGACCAAGGTTCAGTTCCCAGAACTTACAAAGAGTCTTACAACCAACTGTAACTCCAACATCAGGGAGTTAGATGCCCCTTTTCATCTCTATGGGCACTGCATGAATGTGACACATACACACACACACAAAATAAAATAAATAACTACATTTAAGAGGAAGTGGAGACACAGTCCTGTCCCCAGGCAAAAATCTATTAATTGATACCTGCTGGAAGAGGAAAAATCAGTTTTCTTTACTGACATTGGGTATAATAACAACCATACCTCATGGAAGACCTCATGTTTAGGAGTAGTTGTCTGGCCAAAATTGGACTCCATGGCTTTGTTCTACTTTGTTTTATTTTGTTTTGTTTTAAAGAAAGAGCATGAAACTGATATTTTTATTCATTCTTAATTAAAACAGAATTATGTCACTTTTTTCCATCTTCCCATTCCTCCAGCCCCTCCCATGTCCCCTCCCTCCAATCCCTCCATTGTTCCCTCATTCTCAAATTGATAGGCTCTTTTCCCTTTGTTATCACTGATATATACATATCTTACGTGTGTGTGTGTGTGTGTGTGTGTGTGTGTGTGTGTGTGTGTGTGAGATCTATACAGTTTCAAAGCTGATTTTGTATTAGATAACCAATTAGGGGGCTGGGTAGGAACATTGGAAGGAACTAGAAAGAGTTGGAGGAGGGGAATGAATATGATCAAAATGTATTGTATGAGCCAGCCATTGTGACATAGGCCTTTAATCCTAACCCTTGGGAGGCAGAAGTGGGCAGATCTCAGTGAGTTTGAGGCCAGCCTGTTCTACATAGTGGATCCTGGGCCATTCAGGGCTACAAAATAAGACCCTGTCTTAAACAAACAAACATACATAATATGAAATTCTTAAAGAGTAAATAGAAACATGATTCAAAAAAATTCATGCCATATAATCTTTCTTGCACAAAGTTAATATTTTAAACAGCATGGTCTGATTCTGATTCTGTGCTGATAAACTAACATTATCTGCCTTGTGCAGTCCTTCCTAGTGTACTGGATCTTTGAGATAAAGATATTTTACACAAAAAGGATTTTGATTTTTCAGAATATTGACTTACTCTTGTTTATGTAGATCAATAGTTTGGGCTTTGGTTGTTTGGTGTTTGGTTGGTGGCCCCTTGAGTGTTACACTAAGTAACTTTCATTCATGAGAGTCTTAATACCAGTCCTACCTCGGATTCCTGTCAATTTTCATCAAATGACTCAAAGACAAGAAACAGAAACTTAAAACACTTGTGGAGTTTGTCGTTTAATTCAGCAAAGATGTTTTTATTGACATAGAATCAGGGGTTGCCCCTCAGCCACAGTGGAAGGCTAGATACCCCTCCCCCCATTCCACTCACAGCATCACACCGCACTGTACCCAGAGTTCAAAGCCTCTGCGCCCTGGCCAGTTATTGAACATATCCCTGAAAATTAACGGGTCCTAAGTCATCGCAAGTGACAAGGACGAACCCCTCTATAGGGGAGACTTGGTACCTGCAAGCAGGATATCTGGTGCCATCAATGAGCTGACAGACTGTCAGTCTGAATCTTGTCTCACTCTGGAAGCAGAAAATGTCGGTATAGTTCTCACAAGTCGCCTTCTTGGAGGAAGTGCAGATGCTGTTGATTTTCTGAGGCCTCTCGTGGATGAAGACGTGCAGCTTTTTGCATGTGTGGCCGGGTCCCCTGATGACCCTCTGCTGTATCATATAGTTGCAGTACCTCAGAGGGATGGTGTTCTGAGGATAGTCCACGTGCAAATGCTCCAAGGATGTCAGCACAACATCCTCACTCAGTTCGTTCTCCCAGAAGAGGAGCAGCAAGAAGACCACCACCATCAGTACCATCAGGGGCGAGAGTCCCTTCACATCTCTGGCTTTCACTCCTAGAAAGTGAAGGAAACAGAAAGGAGCAGAGGGTCATCAGAGGCCTCCGTCCGAGACACATTATCCCACACTGGCCATGCACACCCCACTGCACGGGCCGTCCCTCAGAAAGCCCTTGTTCCTATTCTGAACAGCTTCCTTTCCACCCAGGTCCACGAAAGGTCAAGACGGTCGACTGCAATCTGCTCTTTCTGACTCCTTCTCTTGCATGGGCTCTCCTCCAGTCAGTGCTAGCACGCCTCACCTGCCCCTCTTGCTCTGGCTTTCATAGGTAACATGCCCTTTTAATCATGGATGTGAGGAAAGCCTTTGTGCCTCACAGTCCCCAGAGGAGAGCTGGTAAGGAGACTCTGACCGTGGAGGAGGGCAGAGGAGGAAAGAGCAGAAAGGGAGGGGCCCGTGGAACAGTGTGTGTGGGTGCCTTTGGGGAGGACACTGGGGAGGCAGGTCCCAGAGAGGTTCTCATTAAACAGAACCTGCTGTATTTACTCCTGCTGTGTGCCAGTCACGGTATTGTGCATCATTTAAGTTTTTAACCAGTCCTAACTACAAAGAGCTGCTACTTTTACTCCATTAGTGCAGATGTATGTTCCAGGCAGGCCATGGTAGAGACATAAAGTCATAAGCATGACAAGAATTTCACCCCATCAGTGCCAAGCACCTGCTTCAGCGTGTTTTATTCTCATGTGGTCTCTTGGGCTGGGTAGGATCAAGTCTCTTCACTCAGCATTCATCTAACTGAAGTCCTGGGCATTTGAAGGGAGTGGCAGGTGTTGCCAGACTCTGCTGAATCTTTGAGACACCAGGTGTTAAACCAAACAAAACACAAATCACCCATCAGCTTCCACGCAGAGATTAGTGGATAAGAGCTTAATAACAAGTGTGGTTACAGCCATGTGTTGGTGGTGCACACCTTTGATCCCAGCACTCAGGAGGCAGAGGCAGGCGGATCTCTGTGAGTTCGAGGCCAGCCTGGTCTACAGAGCAAGTTCCAGGACAGCTAGGGCTGTTACACAGAGAACCCCTGTCTTAGGGATGTGTGTGTGTGTGTGTGTGTGTGTGTGTGTGTGTGTGTGGTTCCAGACACTGGGGCAATAGGAAACACTGTGTCACCCATCTCAGGAAGCCTGGTGGACTGATGCAGGGATGGAAAACATCACTTGGTTTAGTCTTGCTCTGACATCAAGCCTTTAGCTCAAGTATGTGAATGAACATGTGTGTGTAAATGTACAATACATGTATATGTGTATATTATGGGTGTGAGAATGGTGTGTGTGTGATTGTGTGTGTGTATGACTATAAGTATGTGGAGCTGAGCGTGTATATGAGTGAAAACACATGTATGTGAGAGTGTATATGAATGTGTGTATTGTATGTATATGTGAGTGTGTTCTTGTATGTATGACTGTACCTATTATGTGAGATTGTGTGATTGTATATGTGTATGTTAGTGTGTATATACAAATGTTTAAGTGTGTGTAAGAGAGGGAAAAGGAGAGAGAGAGAGTTTGTTGGGCTTGGGGCTAAAGATCAAGAGTACAGTATATGTTGACCACCTGCTTTGCCACTGAGCTATACTCCAGTCTGTGATGTTTTGGGGAAGACAAGTGTGGTCATTCGAATGAAGATGGCCCCTATAGCCCCATATAATTGAATTCTTGGTCCCCAGTGAGTGGAACTGTTTGGGAAGGATTGGGAGGTGTGCCACTAGGAGTGGGCTTTGGGATGTCAAAATCCCACACCATTCCCAGCTCTCTTTCTTTCTCTGCCCCATGTCTATCATCTCCTCCTACATGTGAGCACTCAGCTCCTGCTCCAGCTCCATGCCTGCCTGCCTGCCTGCCTGCCTGCCTGCCTGCCTGCCTGCCTGCCTGCCATGCTCCCGGCCATGATGGTCAGGAACTAAATCTCCTGGAACTCTAAGTCCCCAATACACTCTTTCTTCTGTAAGTTGCCTTGATCATAGTGTCTTAGCACAGAAACAGAAAAATAAATGAAAGCTGTCCACCAGAATAGGGAACGCTTGCTGTACTGGCCTGACTCAGACACATCTAGACCACTGCCTCAGTATAGAGCTTGCATGCCAGGAATAAGATAGCTCATCCACAGCTCCTCCTCTGGATGCTTGGAGGGTCTCCCTAAATAGCCCCTGCTGGAGGAAGTGAATTTCCTGCTAATGAGAATGACTCTCCACGTGGCATTGCAGGGGGGTTGCTTATCTAGCCTCCTCTCCACAAACTGCACATCTGGAGAAGAGAGCGGGTGCTCATCTCCAGCAGCATCCACCACTTCTAAGACCACAACGTGTTTATAGAGTGTACAAATGAGCAAAATGTGTTATATTTTGTCCCTTTCAAGGAACCAACTACCTGTGCTAGCATGGGAAACACATGCCACTTCCAAGGGTTTCCATTTCTATATCTGAAACAGGGGTGGTAGGGGAAAAAAATAGGATGCCAGTAGGCTCTACTCTGCTTTTACACATCAAGGCACTGAGCGTAACTTAAATGCAGACACTGGCTGAGCTCATATGACTGGCCATACACTGAGGGGGGCTGGCAGAATCTGTGTCTCCCAGTCTTTCCTGGAAACAAGAAATGAGGATGCCTGGAGTTAGGGACAGCTGCCAGACCGCAAAGCGAGGTCTGACTTAGGAGCTGGCAATGAAGGCAAAGGGTCACCTCCTTACAAGCCCCAACTGATTTCCTTGCCAGCTCCTGGGCTCTAGTTAAATCCCCTCCCACTGCCTAATATTTTCACTTGTTCAGCTAAGGCTAACAGAGAGGGGCCCACAAACATCCAAGAGCAGTCTGCCGGCCCTCAGGTTGAAGAGGCACTCAGCCTGGGTTTTGCAGTTAGAACCTTGGGCTATGCACACAAGTCTCCTCTGTGGGATGGGCAGGCCTTTGTTCCTCAGGTGGCTGTAATGACCTTACTGGCTAATCGCCCAAGAACATCTAGACAGGACAAACTGCCTGAAGCCTACCCTTCAAAGGTAGGACAGTCCCTTCAATGTTCAACTTCAGCAAGTGCTTTGATCACATCATACCTAGCTTCTCATCTGCCCTGGTGGCCTGGGCATTCACCCAAGCCTTCTGTGTGTTCTAGGTTGGAAGCACCAGTAAAGCCACCTACCCTCCCATACATACCCCCAGGGCATCCTTCCCTTTCTTGGACTCCCAGGGTCTGCTTTCTATTCTGGACCAGGAAATAAGATACAATTACCTGGAAAAGATCAACTAGAATAATCATCATGGATCTAGAAAATACAGATGTTTTAAACAAAACAAACAAAAATCTTGCCTTGGTCATCAGCTCCATTAGGGCCATTTGGGAATCATTAAAATGGTCCTGTCCCACTAACTGATGCCAAGACCATGAGCTCAGTAAATATTAACTATATGAGGAACATGTGGACAAGTGAGCTAAAGAGCTTGTAAGTTTTTGATATTTTGTTTTGTTTTTTTTGACACAGGTTCTCACTCTACAACCCTGACTGGCCTGTAGCTTGATATTGTAAGGTATGAAGACATTTTGACCAGGCTGGCCTTGAACTCACAAAGATCTACCTGCCTCTGCAACTGTCTTAAATGCTGGGATTAAAGACACACACCACCATGCCAGGATTTAAGGTTTATTGAGGGGGGGGAAGAGGGAGAGGGAGAGAGAGAGAGAGAGAGAGAGAGAGAGAGAGACAGAGACAGAGACAGAGACAGAGACAGAGACAGACAGACAGACAGACTATGTACAGACAGACAGACAGACTATGTGCACCTCAGTGCAGGTGCCCAAAGAGATGTCAGATCCCCTGAAGATGGAGTTACAGGCAGTTGTGAGCCACCTGTGATGGGTGCTGAGAACCAAACTCAGATCCTCTGCAAGAGCAGCAAGCTCTCTTACCCTACTGAACCCTCTTTCCAGCCCATTTTATAATTTTGAAATCGTATGCATTTATTTTGTTTGTGAGAAGGTAGTGTCTGTGCCACAGTGGCTGTGTAGAGCTAAGGGGACAACTTGTAATAGTTCTTTTCTTCCACTGTGTGGGTCCTCAGCAGCTTCACCAGACAAACCATCCTGAAGTCTTTGATATAATCTTTTTAGAGGATTATTTTGATGAAATACTATAGCATTGTATGCTCATAACACAAGAAAGATAAAAGGAAGGAGGAAAACATGTTGATTTCCCACTCTGCAAGGCCTTAAGTTTATTATTGTGCCTCTGAACCCTTAGGAGATTTTTGGTTGTAGGTGTTAGCTCTGTGCTGTTCTCCCTCTGTGTGTGTGCAATGCAATCTACCTTAATAAGTAGTACACACACACACACACATACACACACACACACACACCTAGTTGCTCAACCACCCTTCCTGGGGAAACAGTACAGCTCCTTCCTGGTAAATTCCACTCCTATTTCCTGCACATGCAGAATGAGCAAAGAGCAGACTCCTTCAGGGCCTTTCATAGAATACTCAGGACAGTACTTTCTTTGCCCACAAAGGCTTAGAATCCAGATTGATTTCGCACCTGGAACAGACACAGCCCAGGCACTTCTGTGGTTTAGGAAGGGACGACAGTCTCAAAGAGAAACTAAGCTGGATTGAGGGTTGGACCTGGAACTCAACTAGGGAAGACATAGTCCAGTGGAGAGGTGCAGCTTCAGGGAAGGCGGGTTGGGTACAACCTCCCAAGGGCCGAAGAGTAACTGGGTTCCACCGCACCCCTAAGCACACCAGGAGGCTCTGAAAAAAAGCAGACTCCCTGCTTCAGAAACTCCAGCGGCGAGTGGTTAAAAATCCTCACGGGGAGTCGGTAGGGCAAGCTCCGGTGAAAAGTGGGTTTCCGAGGAGCAACACTACCCACCACCGAGGACTTTTCCATCCGCATTCCCATACAAAAGGACTAAGGGAGGGAGGAAGCCCCGCTAGCTGAGGCAAGACACCTCCCATTTTCTGCCGCAAGAAGTCCTAGAATTCAAAGACGAGCCACCACGATGAC